GAATAACATAACTACGAGAAATTCTGTTTATAGTAACCACTGAATTATATTATTCATCACTTTTAATAAGCAAAAATATTAAAAAAAAAAAAAAAAAAAAGGCTGTACATGTTTTAATATTAATTATTTTTTAACAATTAATCATTTAAAAAATGAATAAAATTTAAATAACAAAAAAATTTCTTTTCAGCTAATAAAGTTTCGATTAATTTCTAATTATAATTACTAAATTTGTATTTTAATAATTAATATATAGAATAAGAAACCGTAGGTCCCGGAATACTACTACTATACTACTACTACTACTATTACACTACACCACGTCACTGTGCCTAGAGCTGAGTTACCCTTATACAATATGGGAATGATGTGATTGAGAAGTATGACTGGGCTCCGTGACACTCTGCAGTCACATGAGATCGAGACTTAAAGTGGATTCCTATTCACTACAAACATCCATGGCACCGCCGGGATTCGAACATGAAACCTGTGGCATCGAGCACCAGAGCGCTAGACAGTCGGCTATTCAGGTCCTAAGGTCTAATATGACTGTACAGCGTTGGGCGTAGGGCTGACAACCCCACCCCTTAAAAAGAAAAACTGCTTGTGTCGAAATCTGCCAGTAGGCAGATGGCCTCGGCCCACCATAGGGCTGTTGCGTCATTGAACAAGAAAAAAAAGTATAGAATAAGGCTTTCTTTAATTTTAGTAGTTACAGGAACATACACAAAACCATGTGATTAAACATTTTTTTTTCTTTCTAATGCAGCTGGCAAACACAGACATGGACGTCTTGGATGCCTTAAGGCAAGTGCTGCACAGACGTACTCACTTTGCATTACCTAGGGGGCGCGTGTAACTTGAAGATAAGCTACGGACGCGGAGTAACAATGCCCCCGCAACGCTGTACGATCCAATTAGACCTGGACCTACTTTTTAAAGTGGATTCCGAACCACTATAAACAACCATGGCACCGCCGGGACTCGAACCCGAAACATGTGGTACCGAGTGCCAGAGCGCTAGCCACTCGGCCATTCAGGCCCGTGATTAAAAATTTATTGTAGTAACACTTCTCATAATAAATGATCAAGCACCAATAATCCCCTGTTTTTATTCTTATGTAATTTCCAGTGAATATGTTTGGCCTAAAGGTGTTTCTTTAAAGTTTTCCACATATGTTCTGTGGGGTGATAAATCAAGAGAAAAAAATTGAACAATTTTATTAAGTGATTCCTTTTCCAACCACTTCTCAACAACATATGTTATCTTTCTTTATGCAAAAAATGGAACAAACGCCCATTTCTAAGTATCACATGCTGGAAACAGCTGTCTTCTTTACAGTATGTAAAAGGCTCAGTCCAAGAAGTTGCCCTAATACCTTACAGACGAACACTTTAGGGTATTAAAATATTTTTCTTGTATTACTCTACACAGAAGAAGTGCATGGTATCGACAATGATGTCGATACCAAACACTTGAACTTGACTTGTCAAATCGCGTTCACACTAGAATACGAAAACTCCGAGGGAACTTTTAGAAAAACATGTCGTTTCATCTGTCGGAATTTGGAGCCGCTCTGCTTAGAATAGGTTCGTGTTCTGGCATTTATAATGCATCAAGGCATTTATAATGCATCAAGGCATTTATAATGCATCAAGGCTTTTATAATCTGCAGATTGAGAAGTGTTTTCTCCTTACAGGGTGAGGAAACGAAAGGTTCGATTGTTTCTCGATTTCGAATTGCAACACTCGAGAACAATCAAATGTTCTGCCTGATGTTTCAAATGTGGATTCTATTTCGCTCTATGCCTCTTCGCAAACTTACTGATTAATCTTTTCTGTCTGATCGGCCAGATACTTTCTTCTAACCGTGTTACAGTCGAGCTTATATGAACTTGCAACAGGTATCTTTAATACTACCATTCACTCTTTTTCTATGACAACGGCCGTACCATGCTGAATATACCGGTTCTCGTTAGATCACCGAAGTCAAGCATCATTGGGCGCGGTCAGTACTTGGGTGGGTGACCATCTGGGAACACGCGTGCTGTTGGCATTCACAAATTTGGGACCTGGATGGCCGAGTGCCTAGCGCTCTGGCGCTCGGTGCCACAGGTTTCGGGTTCGAATCCCGGTGGTGCCATGGATGTTTGTAGTGGTTCGGAATCCACTTTAAAATTGTAGGTCTCGACTGTATTGTATTGACTGTAAGATCGTCACGTAGCCAAAGTCAGACTTCTACCTACGGGTGCTCCATCACAACAGAAGTTGCTTCCTTCCCCTTCAATCATGAGAGCGTATGGGCTCGTGGGCTTGGCCAGCCAAGTGGGATAAGAAACAACAACAACAACTCTTTTTCTGATATTATAATAAGCCGAGATGACCCCCTGTACATTTTTACGTGGTTTGCATGATCTATGATGTCTTCCTTATGGTATTTCTATTGAATTGGATATTCTTTATGTTAATTACTAAGAGCTCTTTTATTCGGTGTTATGACTATCTAACTTAAAAATTATGCCCATGCTTGAGTCGAGATCTTTTCTGTCTTATAGGGGGAATGTTGCCCGAACAAATAGTATCAGAACGTCAATTATAGGAAAGAACATTTTGCTTATAGCCATGATGGTAGTTTGTCTATGACGCAGAAATTTATGGAGGGTGTAACGTCTTGGCTTATACTATATTAGCTTCCCTCACTTCTCTTTGTAGTAGACATTTTTTCCGCCCATGGTCTATCACCAATCACGATGCAACAACTCATGGTGTGACCCATATTCTATCTGTGATAGTTTCGACCTGTGAAGGTCGAACAGGCAATCGCTAATTTCTTGAAGTCTCGTTATCCATGACACTGATTATCTGCTATGAGTGACAGATTGTTCTCATTAACACAAAACACAAATTGCATGTAATATAAATATCCCGAACACATTCAGATTTGACACATTCAGACATGTCAGATTTGAGTGATAGGTATATTATTTAACAAGTACATAATAGTGATAGTTATTATGCACTTGTTAAAGAATCTCTTGAGAAGTTAAAGTTTATGAAAGTAACACAGATAATGATATGGTAGCATTTTTTTCTCACTAGAAGAGTTTTGGCGTTTCATTCCCAGGAGAGAGGAATGTATGTTATTTGACAAATATATAATAAAGCCATCACTCAAATTTTGACAACAGACGAGCTTTATTGTGGGTAGTTATATTACATGCAATTAGAGTTTTGTACTAATCAGAACAACCTGCCACTCAAATCTGATAGCAGATATTTGGAATCATATATAATGAGGAAATTAGTGAATGTCTGTGCGATCTTTGCAGGTCGAAACAACTACAGATTGAATATGATATACTATGAGTTGTTCCAACGTGGTTGGTGATAAACCATGTTCTGAGGAAGTGTTTACTCCAATGAGAAGTGAGGAAAGCTGCTCCACCCCCCGGATTGTCTTAAAAGAAGTTTTAGAGAAGAGGAGAGAGAGTTCTACGACGACTCGACCAGAAGTGCTGTTTTTTTCTTTTTCTCTCTGAAGGGACTGAATAGGCCGGAGTTGTCCACCTGTTTCCAAAGTGAGTCTCTTGTCGTTTCGTGAATCACGCCGTGTGATAGTTAATGTCTGCCGCAGACCAGTGCATTAGGTTTGTCGTAAACTCGAGAATTTTGAAAATAATCATCCTTGAAGTGAACTGCACTTGAGATTCAAATTATATACGTTATTAATTTTCATTTTATGTAAATAGAGTTCTATATATGCTTGTAATTCACAATGATTGTGAATAAAAATTAAAGTGTTCCCATGAACCTGATATTGGCCCTCTTCTTGAAGCCGTTTAGGTCGAGACGTTGCAATACAAAAAGAATATTTAGAGTATCATTCATACAGACATACACACATAAATAAATGAATATATATATACTACTGTGCCCAAAAAGTAAGACCTATTATTTTTTTTCTCAAAAACTCTTTATTTATTCTTCCAAATTTATTTCATCGCCTTCAAAGTATTCCCCTCCGGACACAATGCACTTATGCCAACTTTTTTCCAATCCTCAATGCATGCTAAAAAGTCATCGGCAGGGATGGCCTTCAAAGCGCGGCGATTCACGTTGAATCTCTTCAATCGAATGTCTACCGTAGACCAGGTTTTAGATTCGTCGTAGACTCGAGAAATCTGAAAAACTCCGAAATTCGAGTGAACTGCACTTGTGTATCTAAATTATATCCTTATTTTTCATTTTTTGTAAATAGAGTTCTGTGTATATACATATATATAATGTTTGTAAATAAAATTTGAAGCGTTTCCATGAACCTGAAAGTGGCCTTTTTCTTGAAGCCGCCTTAAGTATAGTATAGGCCGAGATGTTACAGTGCCCAGAGACCTTTCCATTACAAATACAGAGAATGTATTTTGTATTTAAGATATGTAAAAAGACTCACCATAGCATAAAGAGTAGGACTTAATATACACTCATATCCATAAAGTAAGGATAATTCAGAATCACACAGAAATTGAACTCTAAAATAAAAATTTCACCTGTAGAATTATCACACACATCTTGAAGAAGAATATGCAAATTACAGGAAACCACCAGATGGCGCGGATAGTACGTCACAATGACGAGAGTGTAAGAGAGGGGTATATAAGGAATGGTGGCAAAGAAGTAAAATTGTTCACAAGCGCATTAAAAGCCTTTCAGTGCAATAACCGCATAGTTATGGCACAAAGAAAGCATTTGGATAATTTTACGTGGTAGAATTATCGGACGACTGGAATGTGGACGTACCCAGCTGGAAGTATCCGAGGAACTTGGAATCGCCCAGAGTATCATCTCAGGCTTTGGCAACGATTCCAAGATGATGGTAATGGGAGTAGATGTTACAGCACAGGTCGCCCCCGAGTTCCAACGCCGAATGAGGACCGGTATTTAGCAGTTACTGCCAAAAGAAACAGACGGAGCACAGCATCAGACCTGTCTCGTCAGCTCTCTTCAGCTACCGGTACGACAGTTTCAAGGCAGACCGTGTACAGACACTTAGGGCACATTGGTCTATATGCTCGTAGGCTCAGATGTGTTCCACTTACCGCAACTCACTGTCGCCTGCGATTAACCTGGAGTAGAGAGCATGCATTGTGGATACCGCAACAGTGGTCTTGTGTGATGTTTTCCGACGAGTCCAGGTTTAGTTTGCAGTCTGATTCTCGCCGGACTTTCATATGGGGGGCGCCAGGTACCCGTTACCACCAAGAGAACACCATTGAACGACACCGTTACGGTGGTGCAGGATGGCTCGTTTGGGGAGGAATTATTCTTGGTTCCAGAGCTGACCTACATGTTCAGAGTGTAACGATGACAGGCCACATTTATCTGGATGTCATTCTGGAACAACATGTACGTTTGTTTCGGGGCGCCATGGGTGCTGAATTTCTGTTTAGGGATGACAAAGCCCGTCCTCACCGTGCAAACATTGTAGACGAATGCCTTCAATTGGAGGATATCACCCGTATGGATTGGCCAGCATACTCACCGGACTTGAATCCAATAGAGCATGTGTGGGATATGCTTGGCCGACGAATTGCAGCCCGTCAACCCCCTCCACCTGTCAACCGGAACTTCGGAGGGCATTGCTTGATGAGTGGTGTAATATTCCCCAAGTTCAGATTGATAATTTGATACTCAGCATGCCTAGGCGATGTAAGGCCTGTATTGCATCTCCCGGGAGACATACTCCATATTAACCATCATACTAACCATGTTATACTGTTTTTTTGTAAATAGGCTCCTTTTTGAAATTTGCTCTAGGGAGTAAAAATCGCAATTTTTATTAATTATGTCAAGCATATAGCATCTTTTTTGCTCTTTACCTTTTGTTTAATAAATAGACTTTGCAAATAAGTCAAATTTGTTTTGCTTCTGTCTCTTTCTTTGCCTGAACTTCATTATCCTTAATTTATGGACATGAGTGTAGAATCAGGTAAAAATTCTCCATTGAAAAGTGATAATGATGACGTGTCGCCATTGTCTAACAAATCTGATTGCCTAACAGCTGCGACAACTTCATGTATTGCATCTGTGGACATGGATAATTTATAAATTGGGAAAGCTTAAATCGTGATGAAAGAATCTTCGGAATTAAAATAAACTGCGATTACTAAATAGCAAGTAACACAATCTAGAAATATTCTAGAGGAGCTTAGAAAAAGTTATGAATATTTTATGAGTTTTAAAAACTGACGCATTTGATATTAAGGCATTTTTGCATATTTTGAAAGTCATGCTAACTCAGTACTAGTACTTTTGGGCAGGCATAGATTAGTAAATTAATAGAATTGAAACTTAATGTGAGTATCAAAGAAGTATGTGAAAACTTTCTATTGATTTTCGCGATATATTTTATGTATTTTCACTTTTCACTAATTGAGTACTCTTTACAGGTATAATTTTTAGAGTTTCGTATCGTGAAGGTACCGTGAATTTCATTTCACGTTACATTTTGGAGATTTTCATATTCTTTACATGTATGTTTTTTACGGTTTCGTCTTCTTCGTGTAAGTTTTTTACGTTGTTGTGTGTTACTCTTTTCTAAAAAAGTCTTTAAAAATTGTTAATTATTCATTTTATTATTAATTGGATTCATATTGGTTTCCACTATAAATTGCCATCTAATTTTGTGAAGGTCATTTTTAATGTATAAAAAAGACAAAAAAAAAAAAAAAAAAAAATCCTTTTTAACCAGGTCTAATGTATTTGATATTATCAGCTGTCTTTGATTATATTAATATATCAAGTACATCAATGAATTAATGCACGGTAGTTGTTCAATGGTTAAGCAGATGAAAAAAAAATTATATGTATTTATCCAGTGAGAATCTTAAAAATTTTCTATTGAATAAAGAGAAAAAATAAGATTTTATACCCAATGAATAATACATAATAGAGATGGGAAGCCCGTCTCATGGCTCAGTGGAAACGTGCGCCGCTGATGAGCATTAGGGCTGAGGTTTAATTCACTGGTGTAGAAATTAGTTGGTAGCTTAATTGGT